GATGCCGCCGCTCTCGACCGCGTCGGCCAGGCCCTCGGGGAAGGGCTCGGCCGACACCCACAGCCGGTTGTGCTTGTTGGGCGACTTGGCGAGGCAGGCCTCGGGCGTCCGCTCGGTGACGGTCTCCCTGAACGAGGTCACAGGGTCCGACTGGTGGAATTCCACTCGCGACAGCTTGGCCAGGTCGTCGAGCACGATCTCCAGGTGGAGCTCGCCCGCCGCCGCCACGATCATCTCGCCCGTGGCCTCGTCGATGGAGCACTGGACGCACGGGTCCGTCTTGATCAGCTTGCGCAGGCCTTCCGCCAGCTTGGGCACGTCGGCGGCATTCTAGAATGGAACGCGCACATAAAATGTGAGCTTTAAAGAAGTAATTACAATAAAGAAAGAAAGAAAGAAAGAAATATAAATAGATAAGAAATAAATGGGAGGAGGGCCAACCTTGGGCTGAACGGCCACGCGCACGACAGGGGAGACGCTGAACTTCATCATCCTGAAGTTGTGGGCCACCTCGCTGGTGGTCACGGTGCCGGACTTGATGAGGAACTGATCGAGACCGACCAGGCACACCGTGTTACCGGCGGGCACGCTGTCCATGTTCTCGAAGTAGCGGCCCATGGCCACGCACACCTTCTGGATGTTCTTCACATACAGATCCGACTAAACGACGCCACAGAGACATCGACAAAGCGTGAGACACGCGTAGGGGCTGTGGCGGGGAGAAAGGAGCGCACCTTCTGGCCGGGGATGTAGTCCGGGCCGAGAATGCGGACCTTCTGGCCGGTCCGGGCCGTGCCCGAGAACACACGGCCGAAGGCGTAGAACCGGCTTCCCTGGTCGGGCGACGGCACCAGCTTGGAGATGTAGACCATGAGAGGGCCTGCACACATCATCAATGACACCCATCATACATAGGTCAGCGAATGATGCACTTACACTTGGCCACGTGAAACAGAGAGTTTAAGGGTACCCTCAGGGTCGCATCTGCGAACGGCGTCGGCGCACTCGTCCGTCCATGGGACCCTCGTAGAGGTTCTTCCACGCGGTACCGTCTGGGCCTGGACCGGCGAAGGCAGATGGCGCACCATCATCTCGAGCAGAGCCTGATGATCGATCAGAGAAGAACATGAGCCCAACACACATCAGTCTCCCGTTATTGAGCCCAACTTGGGCAAGGTGACGTACGGTGCCGAGAGGCAGGAACTTGGGCATGACGCACTTCATGAGGTCCTTGCCCTCGAGGGCCTTCTCCGCGGCCTTGAGCTCGATGCCCAGCTGTTGGATGTTCTTGTCGAGCAGCTCCCGCTTCTCGGGACCACCGAGGCAGCCCTTGATGATCCTGTAGATGGGTGCGAGCACGAACTGGCAGAAGCCACGCTTCAGCTTCTTGCCCGTCGTCGGCGAGATGTCGGTCTTGAGCCTGTCATCACAATCGCATGGTCAGTCACACTACGACGTTACACTCTTATTGGGTTGCTACTACGCACCACTTCTTGACATCGGGATCGTAGAAGTTGTCGCCCCACAGGCGTTTCTGTAGCTTCTCTGGCGCTACGCCGAGCTGTTTGCCCAATATTGTGGCAAAGGTCGTTAACGTGAAGCCCCTGTAAGGACAGAACACGACAAACGTGAGATGAAGGAGAAGAAGGAGTGTTGGGTGGTAAAGGTGGTGGAAGTGGGAGTGTGACGTACCAGCCGTGGAGGCCTGAGGCAAAGGCCACGGTGCCCTGGTCGGGCTGTACGAAGGGCTCGCCCATGCCCTCGTCCTTGTAGATCGAGATCACGCTGTTGACCGACTCGATCGTACGGCAGAGACGCGCGTAGAGCTCCTCGGGCTCCTATGTGTGTGCCAACGAAAGCCAAGAATGAATGATGAGTGAGCAACCACCCCAACAGCCAATAGATGCGAAGCACAAAGTGTGTGATGCGTACAAGCTGCTGCTCGAGGATGGCGCGATCGATCTTGTTCATGACAAGAACGGGCTTGATGCGCTCCGACAGGGACTGCCGGAGCACGGTGTTGGTTTGGACGCACACGCCCTCCACACAGTCGACCACCACCAGCGCTCCGTCAGTCACACGCAGCGCGGCGGTCACCTCCGAAGAGAAGTCGACGTGGCCGGGCGAGTCGATGAGGTTGAGCAGGAAGCCCTCGAGGGAAGGACCCTGCTGGGCTTCGCCCTCCTCACCACCAGCGGCGGCCGCCGCCACCTGAGTGGCGGGCGCCTTCTGGTCGGCGGCGTTGGGCAGCTCGAAGTAGAGCGACAGACCGGTGGACTTGATGCTGATGCCGCGCTGCTGCTCGGCCTCGAGTCCGTCGGTGAACCTGTTCTTCGACGAGATGCCAGCCATCCTCACCAACGAGTCTACGTACATGCGCAGGGCAGGGTAATATAGTGAGTTGTTGTTTGCTCGATTGAAGTGGCGAGTAGTAGAAGAAGAAAGAAAGGAAGAAGAGAAGGGTGCCGCGTACCGGTGAGGGTAGACTTGCCGTGGTCAACGTGGGCGATGACGGTCACGTTGCGGATGTTGTCCTGCCGGTCCATGATCTCTCTGACTTGGTCAGGCGAAAAGTTGGGCTGCGAGTAGAAGGGGGGGGGGCAAAAGGTGAGCCAAGACAACAGCAGCAGCTCGAGGGAACTCGAACGCAAAGAGGTAAGAGCGTACCATGATTTGGGGAGGGGGGTTGGTGGTTGAGTAGTGGTGGGGGGCGGTTTGAAGCCTAACTTGGCTCTGGTTGGTTACAACTTGGTCGTCTTACACCTTCAACGTGGAAGGTGGAAACGAGTAGTAGTAGGGGGTAGTATGGGGGGTGGTGAGCTTGCGTGCAGGTTGTAGTACTGGTACTGGAGCTGTTAGGCGAGGAAAGCAAGAAGCAGCGACCCCCGGCCCTACTTATGGCCATCGCCTCTGGGAAATTGAATGGAAGCAGCAAACCAAGTATATTCTTCGGTCCACCCCAGTCCACGCCCAGCGACCACGAAAACAGCTGTGACTGGCCCACTTGGAAATTTCAGCCGGTACCGGTCGCTGGGCGAACCAGGATCGGCGAAAGCAGGAAGCCTCGCAGAAAAGACGCCACCCAATCAGTTATAACTGAGAGAGTCACAACATATATGATACATAATCTATATAATATATATATAAATTATTTCTATAAATTGATACAGTACCGCTGTGTCAGCTACGATCTGGTTCGGTGGCTGCCTTACAACACCAGTCACTAACTACATTTTAAATCATCTTTTTCGTTCTGCTCGTA